CAGGGTTATTTAGACTGCTTTAATCATTCTCTCACCAAAAAAAACCACCGCTATACCTATTGGTAGTCAATTTCTATTTCCCCTCCTCCAATCCTTGGAAACTACTAATCTAGTTTCTGTCTCTACACATTTGCCTATATTGGATATTTCATGTACATTTCTTTTATAACTGGCTTCTTTCCCTTGGCATAATGTTTTCAAGATTCATATTGTAGCATGTATTAGTACTTTATTCCTTTTTAGTAGCAATTCCATTGAATAGATACACTCTAATTTGTTTATTCCTTCATCAATTGATAGACATTTGAGTTGTTGCCACTTTTTGGTTATTATGGACAAGGCTGCTATTAACATTTGTACACAAGTTTTACACAGACATATGTTTTCATTTCTATTAGGAGTGGAATTGCTGGATGGAATGGTAACTATGTTTGTTTGAAGAGATGCCAAACTGTTTTCCAAGGAGTTGCAGCATTTTATATCCCCACCAGCAATGTATGGGAGTTCTAATTCCTCCACATCGTTGCCAATACTTGTTATTATCTGTCCTTCTTATTATAGCTATCCTAGTGGGTCTGAAGTGGTATCTCATTGTTTCGATTTGCATTTCCCCAATAGCTAATGATGTTGAGCATCTTTTCATGTGCTTATTGGATATTTGTACATCTTCTTTAAAGAAATGTCTATACAGACCCTTTGCCCATTTTTAATTAGGTTATTTGTCTTTTTATTTTTGAGATGTAAGAGTTCTTTATTCTAGATACAAATCTCTTATCAGATATGACTTGCAAATATTTTCTCCCTCACTGTGAATAGCTTTTCACTTTCTCTCTTGATGGTTTCTTTGAAGCACAAAAGTTATAAATTTTGATGAAATCCAATTTATCTACCTTTTTTCTTTCGTTGCTTGTGCTTTTGGTGTCATATCTGAGAACTCTTTTCCTAATTGAAGGTCATAAAGATTTACTTCCATGTTTTTGCCTAAGAATTTTATAGTTTTACATCTTACATTTACTTCTATGGTACATTTTGAGTTTTTATATATGATGTGAGGTAGGCATCCAACTTTATTCTTTTGCATGTGGATATTCAGTTGTTCCAGCATTACTTGTTGAAAATCATCTTTCGTCCACATAATGGTTTTGACACCTTTGTTGAGAATTGGCTCAGCTTCTTAAATCTTTAGGTTTACATCTTTTCTCAAATTTCAGAAGTTTTCAGCCATAATTTGAGTACTTTTTAGTGCCACCTTCTTTCTTTTCTCCTTCTAGGATTCTGATGACATGAATGTTAGCTCTTTTATCACTCAAGTTCGTGAGTCTATTTTCAATCTATTTTCTCTCTTTTGTTAGACTGGGTAATTTTTATTGTTCTATCTACAAGTTTACTGATTCTTTCTTCTGTCACCTCCACTGTATTGTTGAATTGACCCACTTAGTTTTTTGATTATTGCATTTTTTAGTTCTGAAATTTCTTTTTGGTTCTTTACGCCTTCTATTTCTTTGCTGAGACTTTCTATTTTTTCCTTTATTTCGAGTATTTTTGTAATTGCTCATTGAAACATTTTTATGTCTGCTTTAAAATCTTTGTCAGATAATTCTAACATTTGTCATCTTGGTTTTGTCAACTATTAATTGTCATTTTATATAGTTTGAGATCTTTCTTATTCTTGATATGATGAGTGATTTTTAATTGAAATCTAGACATTGGGGGTATCATGTTATGAAACTTTGGATCTTATTTAAATCTTCTGTTTTAGCTGGCTTTTTCTGACAGCACTGGAAGAGGAAGTGAGGGTGGGAAGCAGGTACAACCTCACTACTGCAAGGTTGGGGGAGAAGTCCAAATTCTCCACTTTGCCTCCACTGACACCCAAGATGGGAGGCTCCTCATTACTGGCCAATGGAGATGAAAGTCCTGGCTTCCTACTTAACCTTCCCTGACAGCAGAAGAGGGAAGGAGGGGTTGGGGCACCTTGTTACAGTTTTGTAAAAGTTAGAAGTCTAGGTCTCCACTAGGCCTTTGCAAATATTTTCTGTCACTCGCGGGAAAGAGGAGAGGGGCATAATTTTTTTTCTGTAGTTTTTGGATGGAGTAGAACAGTCATTGTCTAAATGTTTTCTGTCTGCTATACTGCCCCTCTCCTGGTCCATCATACTAGAAAGAGCAGTATTTTGTTGGGAGTTGGGTTTTTTTGTTTGTTTGTTTTGTTTTGTCTGCACCATTGGCACTGCCAGGCTGCCAGCTTCTTCAGTTTCATGTCTGGGCTACATGAATCAAAAAGAAAACCCAAGAAACTAACCATCATGTTGTTTCTTGAGTCTCAAGGGCCCTAGCTGGTCTGACTTCTCTATCTTTCAGAGTCTCCTTATATTTGTTTTATATGTAGTGTTCAGGGGTTTGAGTTGTACTTAGTGGAAGGAATAGGGAAAAGCAGGTCTACTCCATCTTCCCAGAAGTCTAAGTAGAACTTTTTATAAATAGGATCATATTTTAATCACTAGAAGATATTAATAGTTAAAGAATCTTTGAAGTTAATCCTTTCCCAGTTAATAATAACTCTATCTTTTTTATACATTCAAACTACATATTGGGTTTGCTTTAAATGAGAAATTCCTATAGATTACATATTTCTGAATGTTGACAATAACTGCTCTTTCCAAGTTGAAATTAAATTCTTCTAAATAATTACTTTTTAAAATGTTTTTTCCTTAATGCCTATCTGAATATGTTTCAAAGGAAGGCAATTCCTTAAACTGCCTAATGTTAAAGAATATAATTAGAATTCTCACATCTTTCCAGAAGTATAAGATGGGAACATTTCTCAGAAGTATTCTATTTTAGAAGTTTTTCTGTATCTAAAAGATTATTTCACTTCTCTTACTGAGTTTCTATATACTTACTGAGTTTCTATATACCAACAATTGCCTATTAAAGGTATTTAACAATTTTTGGATTTCCAGGACCTGTTTTTTTTTTTTTTTTCAATAATCATTCCTCCTTTTTTAACATCTGTTCATATGTATTAATGTCCAATAATACTATCTTTTATTGCCCTCTAACTATCTGCCAGGTACTCTGCTAATGAGCTTTTAACATACTTTATCTTATTTAATCCTATTTAAGACAAGGAAAGTGAAGCTTGGAAAGTCTGAATTGAAAGCATTCATAAGTGGTAAATCCAGCATCTGCATACAGGTCCTCTGCCTCCTAGTTCCATGCTTGTTTTGACAATGCTACATCTGACAGAGTGAGCATCTTTCCCTTCCAAGGTGAAAGCTTATAGGTATGTTTTCTCCTTTAATGTTATTTTGTAATTTCTACCGTTCTTTAATTTTTATTCTGATCAAATTTTTCACCTAAGAAAAAATTTTAATACAAAAATTTAAAATATATTGTAATAGGTTTGAGGTTAAAATCAAAGTTTACTTACTATTTTTAATTTCAATATATGGCATTTGAAAATACCAACAATTCTTCAAAGAGACAAAAAGGCTACATGTCTAAGCATCTCTATATTCAATGCAGAATTATTTTATAGCTAAATTTCAATTCATTTTCATTTAAATTTTATAAAAGAATGGAGATTCGATTTGCCTAATTTTGATTTCACAACATTTGATAATCAATATTTTTTCTTTCGAAAGATTTTGCCTAATAAATCCTCTTACATAGGCTAAATAATACTTCATTTGTTTTCAATTGATTTCAATTATTTCCTAACTATCGATCAGGCGAATTCCTTATTAATCACTCAGTCAGTAGTTCCTTACATCTGTCATTGTTTGGTAATACATTTGGAAAGTATTTTTCTTTAGCAAAGTAGAATGCAGATACCACACATCCCCTGATTTGTATAATCAAGGCTCCCTATTCCAAGACGGAACTTTTGAAATGCAGAAATAAGTCCTGTTTGTTATCTGGATAAATATAAATTCCCCTGCAGATATACTAAACTACAATTTAGGAAGGTTTACATTGTTTTTTTTCTTAGTAATCTATTCCTATAAGGAGGGCTTTTTTTGTCGTATACTACTCTATCTACTTGCTATCAAATAAAAATGTTGAAGTCATGAGTATTTTAGTCATTTGAAATATTTTTTTCTTGCTGTGCTCGATTTCCCAATAATAAAAATGGGCTTTTGATACTCAAATTTTAAGTTAAATAAATTAGTTGTTTTGTAAAATAACTGTTGCTGCAAATAAAAATTATTAACAAGTTTAACAAATACGCTGTTTCAATATAAATAGAAAAACACTTTCTAGTATTGGTACTAGAATTTTATCTAGAATACGCCTGGAAGGCAACAACCGCTACACATTTTCACATCATATATATAGCACTTGCAAGTAGGATAGTCAAAACAGCTGGCATTTTTACACATATTGATCATGTGAGGAAGAATATTATTACAGGCATCATCACCTTAGGAAATAATGATCATCTATATGCAAATTTAAAATATTCATATATAGTAAATATATGTAGGTAATAATGTGGAAGGAAACTGATATTTATTTTTCACTACCATTATTATAATTGAATATAAAAGACTTCTACCTCTCCCATTTTGAATTATTTTCCGTTCAGAAAACAGATATTTTAATTTCTCATGAAGGCTGTTTACGGAGAAGAGGGCTTGTTATTTCTAAGAGCAAGAAACTACTACTGTTTTATATGAATACACACCTGGAGACGTAAAACTTAATTTCATAAATCATTTAATGTTACCTACATAGCAGTTGATAATAGCATACCTCAAAGCTTATCTTGCAATATTAGCAGGCAGCCATCTGCCCATTTCTATCTACTGAAGCCATTCTGCTTTTTTCTAGAGACTTTGGAACTGTATTATTGTGGGATATGCGGCATGTTCGGTGTGAAATAGGTTCCCAGGGCAAGGCTGCCACTTTGGCGGTTACCCTGAGATACAGAAGTTAGGAAGGGCTAGGGCCATCATGCTAGGAGGACCCCAGACAGCCCTGACAACCACACTTACAGGGCCATTTTGGTCGAGGCCTCACCGTGCACAGCAGCGTCCGCAGCGGCTCCTCCTGCGAGCCAGAGGCTGGGGGCAGCGCGCCGGCCGCAGGGGGCGCGAGCGTGTGAGCCCCGCAGTGGACCAAGACCGGAGGCCGGAGGCTGCAGCGCGGGCTTAGAAACCGCTGCGGGGCTTAGGTCCGCAGGCCCGACAGGCCCAGGCTGCGGTTTTCCCGGTCCCGCCGCCGTTGCCAAGGCGACCGCCGCCGAACGTTCCCGCGGCGGGCCCCGCCCCCCGGCCAATCGGACCCGCGCTCGCCCGAGCCCAGATTTTCTTTGTTCCGCAGCCATTTCAGGCCCCGGACCGGAGGCAACGCCGCTTCGGCAGAGGGCCCGAGCGCCGGAGGCCTCTGGGATGGTGTGGGACCGGGTAGGTGGCTTGAGGGTGAGCGGCCCCGGACTGGAGGGCGGGAGCAGAGGCCAACTGTTCTGAAGCTAGCTGACAGGCCGCAGGGAGAGGCGCCGAACTCGCCGCCCTCCGGGTCCCCGCCCGGCCGTTTGGAGCCAGGCGCCGGCGGCTGCGCGGTTCTAAGCCCAACAGCTGCCGCCCCGGGTGTCCTGCGGGACTGGGGCAGGGGGCGGGCGGCGGCTCCTCAGGTGTCCGAGGTCTGAGCCTAGAGCCCGTGAGAGCGGCGGAAAGGAGAGGGACAGCTTTGCCCTGTCGATTAAACCGCGGCTTTGAGGGCCCTGGGTGCCGCAGTCGCTGCCCCGGGACGGCTGCTTCTCGCCGGTTCTGGGCACTGACGTTCGCTGCCCCTGATGGCCCGTCTTTGTCCCCGCCCGGGCCCCTGTGCCCGGGATTCCCCGGCTCGCACACACCATCGCTTCCACGCTCAGCTAGCTGATCGCTTTCTCCAGGCGATTCTTTCCCCTTGGGGCCTCCTGGCTTCACGACATGTTTACATAATTTTAATGTTTGTAACTATGGGTTTCGCGTGGGTTTGTTTTTTGCCCTTCTACCCTTTTGTACTTCTCTCACGCGAACACGCAACAGGGGACAGCTACTGAGGAGCACACCGACTACCACAATCAACCTGTTTTGAGAATGGCGTTCCTCCTTTAAAACTGATCGCCTATTTGTTTACAGATTACAAAATCAACTGGATTTTGCAAGGATTGCTTACAATTTTAAGTCCATTATCTTACCAGTCAGTAATTATTTTGGTCTATCAGCAAATATAAATGTAGAAATTTAAAGTTGGAGGCTATCCACAAATTGATTTTGACAGTTGTATAAGAAGCTTAATAACAATCCTGCTTTGAAACAGTGATGACTTCAATAATGAGTGCATAAGTGGTACTTTTTTTTAACTAAAAAGATGTTTTTAAGATACAAATAATATCGTGTAATAGGTATTTGGAAATGTAAGGTTGTAAAATGGCTGTTCAGATGTGCTCGTTTTCAAGATAACAAAAGTTCCTTTTGGATTTTGTTTCCATATTATATCTAAGCTTTCATATTAGAATGGTAGGTAAGTTATATTTAGTGAAGCAAGGAAAGATTCCGTTTTTTGGGAAACTGTTCTGTTTTCCACTTTTACCTGCCCTGCACCCCATTCTTAGAGAATGACTCCGGCAAGTTGAAAACTTGCAACCGCAGAAGAGAAATATTAATTCGTTTGAAGGTGCAGATTTCTTTTTTACTCTCTGGCATACGTAATGCATAAATGTATAGCAGTTTTGCAGTACGGTTTTTACTTAATCCAATTTACTGTGAACCTAATAAACTACGAGTGCTCCATTTTCTTTTTCCTAAAAGGGCCCCCTGCCCGAATCAGTCTTGATGTGGTTACAGTTTCCTCTTAGGTATTCAGGGAATTATTAAATTCCTCCCACTGATGTTTCAGTCTATAAAAATCTTTTAAAGTAATGAAGCTTATTAGCATTATGTATTGTGAGTAGGATAAGATTTTGGTAAAAATATATATGATTCTGGTTGTAAATGTTTCCATTATCAACACCTGTATTCATTATTGTTATGACTAGTCTTTATATAATGTTAAGGCCATCACATTTACTTAATTTTTCTAAATACTGTAAACAAACTACATTGAAATGTAAATGTTCTATATTTAAAAGAATTGCTTTTGTTTAACCATGTTGGATCCTGCAAATATTATTTTTAAAGAAAGAAATATGGTTATAAAGGAAGCTAAACCAAGTGACATATATAATGAAAAAATTTATCAGATATAAACTACAGGGGAACACAGCAGTAAGTGGGAGTTATTTTTATTGTACATGGTATTAATTATGAATATTTCTTCCAAGGATTGATATTTGAATACATATTGTTGCCAAAAGATCTTGGTCCAAAAAATCAATTTGATTTACCAGAAAAAGGGTAAGAAAGCTGAGAGAATCAAAGTGATTGATTAACTGATTAAGTTTTTAAAAACAATTGAGAATAATGCCACCCTCAAAAAGGAAGGATCGGGGACCACGAAATTCCCCAGACGTTGGGGATCTTTCTTAGTCTCATTCAGCCAGTGCCATGATAGGTAGATCTGGTGGGTATAGGCAAGTGAGAGTGGTCTCCTGGGTAATAGAGGGGGCGAACTTTATAGTGGAAGACAGATGTTTGCAAGGGTGGTAAGAGTAGATTTAGATTTGTACTTACACGGGTGAGTGTTAGTGTAGAAGAGAGTTCCTAGAAGCCACGTTTGGTTGCTCCAAGACCTCCGTACTAGAATTCTTTGACTACTGTCAGTAGGTGTCATAAATAAGAATGTTAGAGTTCCAGAATCTCAGTAGTTAAATGTGATATTGGAACAGGAAATAGGGGTCTAGATTTGTCTTAGAACTTTCTGGAGTTGACAGAACCCATACAGAAGTGGTGGCATCTTATTTCAAAACAGCACCCAATGGCAGAGCGAATATTTGAACTCAGAACTGAAAGAAAGAAGATAATTGAAAGACAAGAAGATTTAAATTGACATATGCCTTTTTAATGGTTAAAATTTAAAAACAAAGCAGATCTTTTCAGTGTAGTGTAGCAGTTAAGAACAGGAGCCGTAGAGCCAGAGTTCTTGGATTCAAATCTTGGCACCTTCTGTAATTATCTGTGTGACCATGGGCAAATGACTTAATTTCACTGTGCCTCAATTTCCTTGTCTCATAATGCTATGAGGATTAAATGAGTTAATGCAATAAGCTCTTAGAATTGGGCCTATATAGTAAACACTCCATAAATAATAATCGCTCTTATCATCATCATCATCACTGGAATTTTAGAAAACAACCATAAAACAATGATCACTAATATCGGGACTATGAGATAACTTCAGTAAACTCTTTGGTGCATTTCCTTCCAATATTTTTTTTTTAACTTGATTTTTACACAGTTGAGACTTTATTATATGAATAATTTTGCTTCTCTTTTTTTCACCTAGCACAGTAAACATTTTCTCATGCTATTAAATTACTTTGTCAGCATCTTTTTAAATAACCACATATTTGTGTTTTCTCATAATTAAACATTTTCCTGTTGGACAGTTAGCAAGTTTCTAATTTTTTTGCAGTTATAAGATAGTTTCCCTGGGACGTGGTTCCATAGTGTAGTAGTTAGCACATCTGCTTTACACGCAGAAGGTCCTGGGTTCGCTCCCCAGTGGAGCCACGGTCCATGGTCCATGCCACAAGCCCAGTGTCTGATCTTGGAAGCTAAGCAAGGTCTGGCCTGGTTAGTACTTGGATGGGAGACCACTTAGAAATACCAGGTGCTATAGGCATAAATAATAATAATAAAAATAAATAAAAAGATAGATTCTTCAAAGTGAAAATATTGAATCAGAGTAAATAAACATCCAAAGCTCATGGTCCATATTACCAAATTTCTTTTACTTAAAGGGAATTTAATAATGGACTTAAATTAAGGAGCCCAGCATTTATTGCTCTTATTGCTTGAGGTGGGAAGGAAGAGGGAGTGGATTAACATTTTTCCCATATAATATACAGGGCATTATTTGTAGGCATTTAGCATGCATTGTTACTTTTAGATCTGTTATGCTCATTATCATAGCCATGTGTTACACTAAGGGAGTTACTTCCATTTTGCTGATATGGGAGAACTGAAGTATAGAAAGGTAAATACTTTGCCCAAGGTCTCAGAGTATTCAAGGCTGGATCGGAATCTAGGTCTGCCTGGTTTCAAATCTCATGCTCTTTTACTTATAAAATTTTATATAATATACATATTCAAATCCTTATACTGAACACATATGCATTGAATGACTACAGAATCTTGTAATTCACCATAACAGTGAATCTAACTGTAGATCATAGACCACATTATTAAGATAGTGAAACTGAGCTGGAAGTTATGAATGGGTAAATTAGTTAAACAAGGCTTAACTATCTATACACATTTTAGAAAAGGAAAAATACTCTTTATCTGGATGAGATGTAATTGGTAATAAATACATAGAGTTGGTTTCTAAAATAAATGCAGCAAGCATTTGTGGTTGAAATACTCTTAGTAATGACCTCAACACGAATAGGGGAGAAAAAAATACATAAAATTTGGGGGTTCAGAGAAATGACAATGGCCCATTAAATAACTATACTGAAAAATACACTTAGTAAAATCCTTGACAGAGTCTTAATAAAGATAAAAACAAAAAAATAATAGAGGCATTCCAGATAAGGAGTATAAGACTACCCACAAGGTGTGGGAGATTAATTTTATACTGAAAACGCAAGCAAAAAAAAATCGAGTTGCATTTTTATAGTTGACTTTGAACCACTCTCAAGCCATTAAGAAAATAATTATCAGTGGAGCCCATTAATCCTCAGATGCAGAAGTTACAGCCATAGATGAGAAGGTTGATCCCAGAAAGGCCAAGATTCCATTGTTTTTGTCTTTACTAACGAAATTAGGGAAGAGAATATTTCAGCAAATCATGAATGTACTAAATAGATACAAATAAATTATTAGGAGTAGGTGGTATCAACCAAAATTATAAAGAAACGAATATAAAACATTGATCATTATACTGCCATTAGAAATAATGTTTTTGGAAAATAATGAAATAAAAATAGTTTATTTTGACTGGATAATAGAAAAACAGGAAAATACTGAGGATGATGGCTAATTATGAAGGACTTTGTGTGCCATTTATTCATTCACTAAACATTTATTAGTGCTTGGATTGTCCCTTGTCTTCAAAAGATTTATGTACTACGTGAGAGAGAGAGATGTAAACAAAAAAGTGCAATGAAGTATAGCTACAGCTTTTATGATATGTCTGTGGAGGCACCCAAGAGGACTAGTAATAGATTCCATGAAGAGTTAAAGAAATGGTGCAGGTATTTCGGGGGGATTTGGAGAAGCACTTCAGAGAGTATGTCAGCAAAGTTAAGGATCTATTG